CTTTTATGGAACACTAAAATAACCACTTGACTACTTCAGCATATTAAAGCAGAGCATATAAGCTGTTGAAAAAGTTTTTCAGCGTTTCTGTATTTTGCCATTTTCGGGTTTGGTTTCTGAATTTTCCCAAACAAAACACATACTGCTCAGTAGTCTACCTTTACGAGATTTTTAGCATGATTGCGTTACGATTAGGGAAAAAATATTCTTTGCAAGCAAATTTAACTGCTCCTGTTTCTTGATTCCAGGAAGCCAAACAATGCAGCGAAATATCCATATGGTAATCCAACTGTCTCTTGTAAAATGGCAAAATATGTTGCGGCAAGACTGAAAACGGCGAAATATAAATTCTGCACAAATGAGAAATAGCTAAATTTCAGTTCTCCTAATTGGAGGAAAACTTTCCGCAATATACTAAAATTTTCATATTAAGAGTTATAACTTTCTTTCCGCCTTACTCAAAACAATTTGTGATAGATCGTGCTCGGAATGGTCACTTTATAGAGAAGATCACATAGTTTTTACAGAACAAAGAGACAAGTTTTTGATACCTTTGGACAACATTTTGATACGCAGCTTAGCTCGTTTCTTCAGTCGCTCCCAAATATCGTGTCTGCGAGGGTCTTTCTTAGGGAGGGCCTAGTAGCTGCCACTTTGCACTCTATTCGGTCCTTCCCAAAATTTCTATTGTAACAAAGAGCTCAAGAAATGTGTATGTTTATTTTGAAAAGTAACAGCATTAGAAAGAATACTCTACCTTTTGTGATTTAGGTGTCTGGCTAGCGAAGCTCTACTGAGCGAAGCAAAATTGTAGAGACGTTTGCATGCGTAAAGTACTAACAATCTTTAAGTCAGCGCATGTAATGCTTCAAACTCTAGTCTCAGATTACGTGTGGAAGTTTATCCTTCTTTGTAAAACTATGAGAGGTTTGGTTATCCATAGAAAAAGGTTGATTTGTGAGCATGTTTTTGTTGACAGCTTTTCTTTCCATCACCTCAGGGGCTACAATGTTGATTCTATATTTACAAACACCATGCAATACCATCCTGCTGAGCTTGTCTAATATACGTCGTGAGACATGATTGATCTAATCCTTTTTCAGCGAAGCTATTTGGATAAGGCTATGCATATGCAATCAAAACTTTTCTACATGTGCTTTCTGTAGTCTAGCTAGAACTTTTTACTCTCTGATCATCATGCGATTCTCCTCTGGTATAATCTTATAAAAACGAGCATATCAGATGTGCTTTTTTAGTAAGAAACAAAACAAAGTTTTATCTATGAAAGGTGAAAATAGTGAAAGCACGCAAAGTAGGTAGCGATACAGAATTTGTCTCGCAAGTATTTGTGCACGCTATAGGTGTCGTAATTTCTTTGCGAAGAGGATTCGTAAGGCGCAATTAAAGATCTCGTGCCGAAGCCTTACCGGCGAAAGCTATGCAATGTTTGCGACACCATA